ATATATATATATATATATATATATATATATATATATTTTTTTTTTTTTTGAATGATGACTATATATATAATGCTGCCATCATTTCAAAAATCATTTTGTGAAAACTGCGTAATTACCAATTCTTCTCATTTGTGCTAAGCAAATACATTGGGCATGATTTGTTTACCATATTATCAAACAGAGCTGCCTTATCGAGGAAATTCTGGTTTCTTTTTTATTACATTAATCAAAACCAAGTGTTGTTATTTATGCTCTTTTCCATATCTTCAACAAATAAGCCACTGCGATTTGATTTCACGTGTATATTTTGTGCATCATCTCACACATAGCAATATAAACGTTCGTACCAAATTTGATAGAATTACTCATCATAGTTTTCATACTAAATTTGTACATCATATCTTTTCTGACTTTTAGTGCCACTATATATTGTTTAAACATATCTGTCGGAAAAAAATTCTGTAAACTAGACAGAATTTCATTTCATGTAGTAATATTTGATAAGATTATAATTCAAAACATTTAATTAGCAAAAACTTTTAGTCGTTTCTTTTCAATGCCGTCTTTTTGGCTCTTGTCTTTTTGGATCATCAAAAAAGCATAACATCTGAAAATCGATTTAGCTGTTATTAGTCAGTTGCAGTACTCACTGTAGCAATTTGCGTTTGTTAGTAGTAATTAATTCTTGATTCCAGTTTTTCAGAAAAACGAATTATTTATCACTCATCTGATCCCATATCTGGAACAATGGAACTGCAGGTGATCCATGCAAGATATTTATGTTCTGTAGTGAAAATTACGCAAAACAAGTTTGTACTAGTTTTCTTGAACAAGTTTGTACTAGTTTTGACGTGATTCACTTACTAACCATATTTTTATGTAATGCGATCTTCTCCATTATCAAATAAATGGCAATAAAACATCAAACTGCAAAAGTAGATTGTACTGCGAATACAGAAGTAGCAACAATAAAAAGAATAAAAAAGGAGAATAGAAAATAGTGAAAATGACATACAGATGAAAGACTTATCAGTTGATAACAAATTTTTAAGTAGCATTTTTTCGAATGACTAATAATTAAGAAATCACACAGTTTTCGTTATATTTACTGATACTTTCGACTGTTTACATCGTCTTTGAGAAATACTCTCATTATTTTTAGTAATTAAGAAAGTCTAAGCGATATAAAGTCATGGACTTGACAAAACAAAAATGAGCACATGTTGAACTTGATAAATTAAAGCAGTATTATTAATGTTACGCTCTAACAAAAAAATATAAGCAAAAAAAAGCGACTTGGGTACTCTAAAAAGTGAAACACACTTGCTTCGATTCAAATAAAAAAAATAATAGTTTTGTTTGTTCTAGATAAGAGACACTTAACAATTAAACTTTTGATTTCATCTCTAGCTGCTGAAAGCAAGTGTGATAGATTTGTAAACGGGACAAAATTTCATTTCATATAGCAATATTTAATAAGACTACTTCTAAAAAATTATGATTTCATTAAGGTCATTGGTAATTATTCCTGTATCTGGTCGGTATTTCTTAAGAATTTTATTAAAAGTTAGTAAGTATTCTTGAAAAGGTGCAAAGTAATGAGTGCGATGAAAATTTGATTAAACACAATTAGAAAAATAAAAATGAGCTTCAGATAAAACGAAAGTGATCATTGCTCATTGTGAACTGCATGAAAAATATGATAGATATTTCTGCAGGATAAACTGTAATTGAGAATCGATCAAAATGATGACGATGAATCGCAGACCAAGTAAGCACAAGTCAATTCATTATATTAATATTGGAACATCTATAATATTCAAGCTAAAAAACACCAACCCATCAACAAAATTCCACACTTTTTCGTGGAATAGATAGCAGTGTTTGGACAACGCATTTTACTGCTCACCTTGCCTCTAATATAGATCTTTCTTTATCTATTTATCGTGAGCAAACTCTTTTGTTGCATAAAATTCTTTCAAACTAAAAGGCTGGAAATGCAACAACAATTTCCCAAACATTTCTAGAGTGCAATCTCCTAATACTTTCGTTGAATTTTTTACTTTTTGATGCATTTCATTTTTTCATAATACGCGACTTTTTACGTTATGGCGTATTTTGCGCGAATATAGTGTAAGTGTTAGCATGAATGAAAACGTTTATGTAACAGTGAATATGGAAAGTATAATAGGAGTAAATGCATGATGTCCAGTACTTCTCATGCAGAAAAATATGCATTAGCTTGCATTGCAAAAAAAAGATTTTGTTGGAATATATAAAAATATCCACCGAGTTACCGCGCTGTGAACTAAACCTAGTTGCTGCGCGATGGACGAGCGAGTTGCAAGAAATAAAAAATAACAGAAACAAATGCATTCGGAATCATAGCTGAGAAAAATGAGAAAAGAAATAAGGTTGTGAAAAGCTTTTTAAAGCTCGAGGTAATCATTCATTCGAAGAATCGAGGTTCCACGGAGTAGCTGGCAAGGAAAGTGCTGGAAGCAGTTCACAACCGTTACGGGAAGATGCCGAGAGGAGGATGGCTTTTGTATCGTTTTATCGCTATATTCAAGCTGCTTAGAAGACGGTTCTATAGAAATCTGACCGAAGAATAGCCTGTCAGCCACCATGCAGAAGCAAAGAAATCAGGGGTTTTCGGGGTACGATGGGGAACTCCAGAATGGGTAAGGATGATGATATCCGTCTCAACGAATATCTGGAGGAATCGGTTCCAGATTATGAAGAGTACGATATTTCCTCAGACAGCTACTAAAGATACGGAATTATCAGACAGCTACTAAAGATACGGAATTCATAGTCAACCTGCATATTTAGAAAAACAGTACCTTCCAAAAGACGAGCTAGGACGTGGGCTTCATTGCGTTGAAGAAAGAAGTGAGCATATGCTTCTGCAACTTTATGACGTACTGGTAGAAAGTGCGCCCATATCTGGCAGGAGGATGGCAATTTTGAAGCAGGAAAAGACTCACAACACGTCCTTGGCAGTTATTGTGCCCTACCTTCAGACTAAATACAACCTAGTAGAAAAATCTACTGTCCAAAACCTAAAAACATCCCAGAAGGCGCTTGTGTTTAGCGGAATATAAAAGAAAACTCGTCATGCAAAGCTATACAAGATGCGCAGAAATGAGTAAACCTCAATGTCAAATTCATCAGTGTGGTTACGATTCGAAAATATTATCCCAAGGATGAAGCGCAGTACTCTTATTTACAATATAGAAATATTTTTGAAGCTGAAAAAAGTATGTGCTCGCATTGTAGGGAACGTGAGAAGATGGTCGATTACATAGACACGCAGAGCGAAAAGGTGCTCTGACTATACTAATGAACATGATGAGGTGCTGTGATGAATCCATTTAGGATTCTGCACGAATAAGGGCAGATCGATCGAACATCCTATTCTACGACAATGAACGACACGAAGTACTGCTAAAGAGGTTGGCATCACTATCAGGACAGGTTGAGACCAAGAAGAATTGAAAGTATGATGTATTGGCTAGTAAACTCGTAGCATAGATGAAGTGCAGTAAGGAAGTAATTCCGTATGTGATGCCTTGGGATGGAATTGTAACCAACTTCCACAAACGGTACATGAAGGAGATCAGTATATTTTACCATCTCGAGGCATATATTCATACGATGGTTCTCAAGAAGAGAAGCGAGTTATGGAGAAATATAGCTTTGAACTGCTCTTCATTCTTTTCAATTATTTGTTAGTCAGCTGATGCATTGGAAAAGTAGATATTAAAGATCAGAAATAACGAGTGCTGTGTTTTCTTCGAAAACTTTTTAATTTCGTGTATGAAATTCAAATTCCTTTCATAACGTGTCCACACGTAGTCATTTTTCAACTCCTTGATGTTTTCTATTTAATTTTTGTTCTCAACAAAAATTATTTCAACAAGAAAATTTGTATACGTTAAAATTTCTCTTTTTATATAAGAAAGATGCTGTTGAAATCTATCGATATTTTTTAAATTTACTGCTACTTTTTTTCGCATTTTTATTTTTTTTCACCAGAAAATGCCTCACAAACGATTCAAAAGTTCATTGTCAACACGACTAAATGCTGAGTTTCGGTAAATTATACGGAATATCTTTTGCATTACAAATTGATTTTCAACCTAATTCGGACGAAAAATATTTTTGCGTTGCTCTCAACTTTTCAAGGAATCAATACTTCACTGTTTTTTGCTATATACATGTATGTATTATTTTTCATTTTGTTACAGATTTTATTTGCGTATGGGATCCAAGTTCATTGCACACTTATGCTGTAGTCGAGAAATAATAATAATTGTAATAATAATAATATTCAATAAGAAATAATAATAATAATAATTGTCAATAAAAAATAATAATCAATCAACACGAAGGTATTCTTCTTTTCTTCATTATTGATTTTCGCGCTGGATCGTATTCTGGCATTCTGGCTGCACTCGCCCCGCGCTCAGTTCTGCTGTGCTGATCTCCGCTGCTTCGTCTTCGTCGAATCCACGGCACTGATCGAATGAGATTTTTCGAGCGTTTTCTTGAGAACTGTCGACTGGATATATACCTCAACGTTATTAGATATATTGATCAGATGGGAGTTCGTCACTATCCCATCCCAAGTCACTACGTACGAAATTATTTTCATCCTGCAATTTATCTCTGCCTCGAGTTTATTAGCCCGTAAATCCTACTTCCGCTTTTTCTTGGTCTCGACTGCTATCATCCTGTCCTGACTAGTGATGCCAACTTCTACCACGACTACATCACGTCCCTGTATCATAATATCCGGTCGATCCTCACTTATCTTCATAGCTGTTCTTACTCGCGTTTACTGCATAAAGTTTTTGCCGTTTAGTGCAGTTTTGTCTAGTTGCTTTCTCCAAAATCTCTGCTCGCATTTTATCTTAGCTTTCTCAAGTCCGCTAGTTCTGTCCTTCATTATGCCAAGGTATTTATACCCTTGAGTTCCTTCCAAGAGTGCAGCCTAATCAGCGCCTACCTCAGTATTAGTGGCTGACTTCGTTAGATTTACCTCTTACCCTACTATTTCAAAGGACTTCTAAACTTCCTCGACCATAGTTTCATGATATCCTCGTCGGCAGCAAGAGGCTTCAGATAATCCACAAATAATGAATGGTTCGCTACATCCATTCCTTGATCAGTGGAAACTGCCACGTTTGGGTATCTGATATTGAGTCCACGGTTCAACGGGTCCATGAACAGAACGAAAAGCGACGGAGAAAGGATGTTCACTTAGAAGATTCCCCGCGGTATTTTTTTCTCCATTATAGTTTCTCCATTGCTTTTTAATTTGA